TCTCAATGGAAAGGTGAGTGATCTGCTGCTGTCTCTGCTCTCTCTGCTTCTGATCCAAAGCCACTGCAGTTCTGATCCTGAATGTTCTTCCAGAGTCCAGATCTCATCACAGCCGGATCCACAGACTCCTTCTGGAGCTTTGATTCATGTGCCGCGTTACTTGGGCAACCTGCCCTTCAGAGTCTGGAAGAAGATGCAGGACATGGTCCAGAACAGTGAGTCTGACTGCAGAAGATCTGAGCTCGCATACACACACACTGGAAATGATGCAATATTGACAGATTTCAGCATTATGTGTGAAGAACCAGATCATCTGCTGCACCAAAATCAGCAGCTCACTTTAGAAAGAATCAGTCCCAGAATTCAGTGCGCTTGACTTTCATTTTCAGTCTCACGACAGACACAGAAGTGATTTCTGCAGTTTTTAAGACTCTTTATTTGATCAGACGGACAGAAACATTTCTGCACAAAACAGTTTTTATTTTGGTGTTTATATACTACTCTAATTGTTTATTAATATTTTGAATTAGGTTTTAATTTTATATTTTTTATGTTAATTATAATAATTTTGCGTTTTTGTAATTTTTTATTACTGTTAAAACATCTATTTAGCTTTATTTTTAATATGTATAATTATGTATCATTTTATTTAAGTCTGAGTTTTAGTCATTTTTATACTTCAGGTTAATTTATTTTATTTCGAGTAGTTGCCAAAACAACTTTTCTAATCATTTTAAATTCTTTAGAATTTAATTTAAGCTTTATTTTAATTACTCGATAATAAACTAGCAAATTGGCTGATTCTGATACAGATTTTCTTTTTAAAGCAAATTTAAAAAACAAACAAACTGGCCTTAAAGAAAAATATCTGTAGCCATTTGAAATTAGAGGCAACCTCTGCATTTTAATCACGATCCAAGCAAAGATGCTACTCACATGTTGCACAAGCAGTTGTTTTTAATTTGAATTAGATTTATAATTTCAGGATTTAACACAAAAAAACAGAATGGTCTGACTTTAGTTTTTATTTATTTTGCTCCATGAAACATATCTGCATGAAACAGGTGGCGCTTCTGAACCAGCAGCGGTCTAGCGTTTCCTTGATTAGCGCTTGATTAAACAAAGTGTGCTTTTCAGTTTAACGTTCAGTATTGATAAATCACACAGAGAATGACTGACAGTGATGAGAGGAACATGTCTGATGTGTTTGATCATAATTCATAATTCATAATCATCTGTGTTGTGTTCACTCTTGATCATTATATGAACATCAGAATAAAAGCAGCTGTTGATTGTGTCTCATCAGCTCCTGTGATTCTGGATCCAAACACGGCTCATCCAGAACTCGTTCTGTCTGATGATCTGACCAGTGTGAGAGTCAGCGGTGATGATCAACCTGTTCCTGATAATCCAGAGAGATTTGACCATTATCCCTGTGTTCTGGGTTCAGAGGGGTTTAACTCAGGAACACAGTGCTGGGATGTGGAGGTTAAAGAGAGTCAATACTGGAGTCTTGGAGTAACTACAGCATCAAACCAGAGGAAGAGAGATTTCTTTAACACTGGTGTCTGGTGTGTGCAGTACGGATGGTCTCCAGGTTCTGGTTTTGATGTTAAACATAAGCTTGATCGTGTGAGAGTGAATCTGGACTATGACGGAGGAACAGTGTCCTTCTCTGATCCTGTAACTAACACACATCTACACACATTCACAACCTCCTTCACTCACACACTCTTTCCTTTCTTCTGCTGTTATTATTCTTCCTCTCTGAGGATCTTATCGATCAATAGTCAGTAATCTGTAGCTCTGGATCTTCCTGCTTTCATCTTTCATCATGTTTCAATATTTAATCCAGATCACACGAGTAACAGACTGTTGATCTGAACATCAGATCAGAAAACAAGTGCATTTATTCATCTTAAACATGTGATGAAGAGTTAAAATAAATCATCTTAATCATATCTGACCAATGAGAAACAGTGATAGTTGCACGTTTTCGCGGTCTGAGAATGACCATTTATAAGTGTCCAAAACACACAAATATTTGCTTTATTGTGCCTCTACCTTTCAATGAATATGTTGGGACTCTGTTAAGCCGTGTTTGGCGTTGAGTGTGTACACACACTGTCTCCATTGTGCAGGTAAGAAAGCAGACCGCCCAGGCAAGACCGTCACACTAGCAACCGTGCAGCAGTGCTCTTGTCAGTGATCTGTGTGTTTGTGTGTCTGAGAGAAACAGCAGCGACTCAAATTTTAAACCACTTCAAACTACTTTCAGAGCGTCAGGCTGGACTTTCTCAAGACCACATCAAAGATTGTCTATAAACGTCTTCATCTACAGTAGTTCGAGCTGCATGATAATATCATATTGTTTGTAGTATTGCAGCACTGCAAGAGTGGATTCAACACATGTTCAGTGCTTGCTGTAAATGAGACTCACTGAAATCTCTGACAAAGTCTGAATCAGTTTCACAACACATATTAATAATGGCTTGTATAAACTAACAATGTGTGATTTCACGATTTCAGTCTCATTTTCAGATTGAAACATTGAAAGTTTATCATGATTATTAGGTTTTAAATTGTGCTCAAATGTCTGGAAACCCTGATTTTCTTCTTTGTTTCTCAAACACAATAGTCTAGACATGTTTATTTCTGTAGAGCTTTATATAATACAGACTGATTCAAAGCAGCTTGACATTAATAAACAGGACAATAACAGCGTCAGTGTTGGATAATGTCTTGAATTATGAAGGAATGAATTCAGTTTTAATGTCAGATATAAAGCAGAAGACAATATATGGTGTTTGAAAGTTTATCATGATTATTAGGTTTTAAATTGTGCTCAAATGTCTGGAAACCCTGATTTTTTTCTTTGTTTCTCCAGCAAAATAGTCAAGTCACATGTATTTTTGTATTATGGCATCTATAACACATTTATAGTGCACAGATTGATTCATGCATGACGGCGATTTAAACCTAATTCACTTCAATAAAGATAACTATACGTGCTGTTCTTGTCATGAGCATCAAGGTGTGGGGGGTGCTGCGGTGCAAATTCCACTCATGTTTAGTACATCTTAACTCAAAGATTCGTAGAACAAATATAACCGTTGGACTCTGTGCTCGATTCTGTGTTAAGGTCAGGCATGTTATTCACAATTATGTGTTGTGGCTGGGTTGTTATAGGTTATAGGACTCTCGCTGTCAACTTACCCCAAACCCGGGGCTAACTGAGCCATGGGAACACTTTTATTACAAGAAGCCATATGTTTAGAACCCTTTGTCATAGATACATTCTGATCATTCAAAATGATAGAAATACTTTCATTTGCACAGGATAGATACTTTCATTGTACTTCTGTATCATTTTCCCTTATCTTGAGGACCACACGAGTAAAAAGTGCCTAATCTTACCCCACTCTCCCCTATAAGTATTAGACGTTTCATTTAATATTTCACAGCATAAATCTATATTATATACTAATAAACAACTCATTTAGAACATTTATACTATTTTTAAAACTATTTGTAGGCTTACTATTAATTTTGTTTTAATAAAATATTATTAAAGATTACTAGTATCAAGACAAGTAATTAAAATGGGAAATATACTTAATTACAAGAATTAAAGTGTGACAAACTGCTAAATATTCTATATGATGATTTAGCTGCTGGCTTGCTGGAGCTTTGAGTTCATGTTTGCAATGTTGAACTGCCTTTAGCAGCCTGTTCTTTCTGGTGAAGGCATTTTATTTGTCTACAAAGTGTGCCAACAACAGCAAATTGGTGTTATCTATATTAGATCTGATCGGGTACAATAACTCGGGGAAACAGCTATAGGCTATTCCTGGCGAAAAGGGCTACCTGCTGGCAGAGAATGAGTTTGCATTTTCTTCAATAAGCCCTTCTGCTCTTTGTTTAGACCAAAGCCAAAAACGACCCTTATTTTTACGCAGAAAACACGTGAACTGGTGGATCAACAAGAAGATAAGCCTACACTAAGAATAGCCTACACTAAGATAGGTATTTATGTTACTAAATTAATATAATTGTTTGATAATAATTGTTTAAATTAATATAAAAAAATATATAATATATGACCCCCCACCCCCCATAACCTTGGATAACTATTCTGCTCTATTATTAATGACAGATTAATTCAATTCAAAGATTTTAAACAATTGTCAAGTTGGATTTATGCCTAAACAGAGAACTTCAAATCACATTTACACACTCGTACAAAAATGTGTTCATCAAACAAAACAAGGCAAGCTCAAATTGTGCCTGAATTCCAGGAAGCGAGCCACAATTGCTCTCTGTATTCATTTACTTTGTCATCTGTTTTCTTCATTGCAATAAGATGGAACTGTATGTGTTTATTTCCATTTTTATTTACCAGTATGTTTTATTTATTATAAACCAATTTTTTAAAAACCAAACAACACTGACTTTCACTGTATTCTCGAATATCTCTAAATGAATATAATAATATAATTAAAATTAATCACACTCCCATGCAGTGAATGTAACATTACAGATTGCAAGTTACCCTATTTAAAATGTAACAAGTAGTGTAACTGTTTCAGTTACTTTATTAAAGTAATGTAACTGATTACACTGATTACTTTTCTAAACTTCTATTATTGTTTTTAAACTGTAAAGCAGGACGAGTTAACTGAACACTGATTACTGTCAGACTTCTCAAAATCCTTCATCACTAAAATTAAATTATTATAATCTGAATTCGAAAGCACAGCCACCACAATATGAGACTTTAGCACCTCTTTACTTCGAGACTCTGAGCATGAATGCAGATTTAAAATCATAACAAGAAATAGTTTAATAGCTACGATACAGTTTTTGAAATCAAATCTTCGTCAGGGTTTCCCAAAATTACATGTTTTATTTGTTTACCTGCATGTCATGTGACCATAACCAATGTTAGAGAGCCGATGAACATGCAAATGTGATACTGCATTACTAAAGTAATTATTTTAAGATCTCAGGGTACTTTATTAGATGAAAGAGGATAAAAACATTAGATGAGAGAGGACCGAAACATTTGTGCATTTATGCATTTTAATGTGTTTGAAAGAAAAGCCTTGCAGAGACACAGAAATACATAGTTAAATAACCTACAGAGTGATGATTCAAATAAAAGCTAATGAGTTCATCTGTAGTTGATGCGATATGTAAACACTTCTCAAACCTGAACTGATTTTGTAAATCCAGTGAATCACCACAAAACCGAAGACTTTCTGAGTGAATGCAAGCGGCAGGCTATTTCAGAAAGAACCTTTAAAAGATGAAAAAGAGGAGAATCAATAGATCATGAATAATTTATTGCCATTGTGTGAATAATGTGCAATCATGTAATCCATAAACGGGTAACTGTAGTCTGATTATAAAGCAATAAGCCCCGTGACGCCGTTAATAAAAACCCCCTTAGCTGTTATAAATTCACTGTAAACCACGGCTTCACTGGGATTATTCCTTTTATAACACGGTTATTCCATATACGTAGTAAGGTTTCACAAAATAAAACGGAGCAAATAAAGTGTAATGATATTAATAAAAACAGTATTCTTCCACCAAACAATGTAGCTCCTCAGAATCAGTTGTGGTTGCTACATCGTGCACCATTTGTGTGGTTTACACACAAACGTAAAGAAAGGTGTGTTACTTTGTAGAGTAATTTACACCAGAACCAAGCACCGGAACTATCGGTTTATAAGAAGTACTTTAATCTAATTATAAGCAATCTGTTTTTGGATGGCAAGATTGCACTTGTGTTTTATGGATGGGCTATTATTCACACAGTGGCAGTAGATGTACTGATTCTCGCTAATCCTTCTCTCGGAGTTCCCTCTCTATACTTGGACTGTGTAAATGAATATGCATGCTGCGTGTGAACACTGGGGCGTCTCCTCATCCGAGTGTGTTTACAGCATCACTCACACACTCACACATACACATACACATAAATACTGTACAGAGAGTCAGGGGTGTATCTACAACCCCAGCGTGCAGACACACAAGCACAGGTTAATGATGAAGAGCAGCGGTGTGTGTGTGTGTGTGTGTGACGAGGGTCGTGTCGTCTGCAGCGCTCGAGCCAGGATTGAAGTCACTGCGGAGAAACACACAGGTGCACTCTCATTACAGTTAGATCTAGATTAGTGTGTGTTACATAGAGGATCGTGTGTTGTGTTTGGCAGAGATGGAATGGAGAAGCGAGTCAAAGGTGTGTGTGTGACGAGGGTCGTGTCGTCTGCAGCGCTCGAGCCAGGATTGAAGTCACTGCGGAGAAACACACAGGTGCACTCTCATTACAGTTAGATCTAGATTAGTGTGTGCTACATAGAGGATTGTGTGTTGTGTTTGGCAGAGATGGAATGGAGAAGCGAGTCAAAGGCTGAGAACGAGTGTATGGTTTGGTGTGTGCTGGTTCTGTTTGCTGCTGCACCTGTCTGAAGGCCAGGCGTCTGAAGAACTTGCGCAGCTGGAAAGCGCTGGGTTTGTCGGCGGCGTCTGTGATCCGCAGGATCCTGGCGTCTGCGAGGGCCGCTCTCAGACTGAGCGTCTGCAGCATCTGAGCGCCGAGAGTGCGAGCCGAGGGCCGAGACGACACGCTGATGTAGCACGCGTCCTTCTGCTGCGCTTGGTAGCTCACTAGACACACACACACACAGACACAGACACAGACACAGACACAGACACAAAGACACACAGACACACACACACACACACACACACACACACACACACACACAGACAGACAGACAGACACACACACACAGAGACACAGACACACACACACACGCACGCTTCGTCAAGAGCCTTTCCATCTGTTTCCATCGTCCATATATCACACCCTTTCACTTCAGTCAATAAATACATACACACAAACATGCATGCCACAAGCTGTGGAATTTACATTTATTTTACATAGTAGAATTCATAAAATAAAATAAACTCTTTACTAAAATAATTAGAAATCATCTGAAATGTAATCAATTTGGGGAAAAAACATATTCGGACATTTCTAAATTTAAAAATAAATCTGTAAAATTATATTTTAGATGGGAACTTCTTGATTCTGTAGTCAGTCCTTATTATAGTTTAAAGGTCCCCTGAAGTGCCTTGAAACACGCTGCATTATTCTATGCATGACGTAATTTCAACTGAAACAGGAAGAGAGGGCAGGACATATCGAGCTGCCCCGCCCCCTTTTTAAAATAGCCAATAGCGTTTTGTTTATATCTGCACAGGCCAGAGCCGTTGAGCTCGGTAAAGCGCATTTGACAGCCACAGTCTAATAGATTACCCCTAGATTCAATATGAAACTCTTAGTAAAACAAAATAGTGGTCATAATCATGCTGAGGCTGTGTAGTTGTAAAAGTGTTTAATATATGCCGACTCGTGCATATGATCCGCTCCGAGCGATCGCGGAGCCAAAGTCCGGATCAGATTGTGCGCGCTGCTGCGGTTCACGTGAAACAACGAGAAACCAGACCTTATTTGCACCAATTGAAAACATGTTTACACAGTCTGAATCATTCCCTATCGCCTACATTGTGCACTACGTGCCATTCACACATTTATTTTGCAAAATTTTATGTAAAATAATAAAAAATATAAATGAATTAGTTTGCAAAAAATTCAAAATAAAATAAAATTTCAATGCCTGAATTTAAAAATAAATAAATTTTAGATTTTACGTACTTTTACTTCTTGCTTCTGTAGCCAGTCATATTACAGTTTAAATAAATTGTTGAACATTAATTAGAAATAAATCATTAAAAACCAATCGGTTTGAAAAATACTTTGACTTCAATAGAAAATAAATCTGTAAAAATTAACAGATTTATGATTATGAAAAAAAAAATGTATTGTTGAAAAATACATTTTGTATTGTATTTGTATTACAAAATGTATTGTTGAAAAAGATAAAGAAAAATAAAGTAGACACTGTAACCAACAGTGCAATCATTAATCTAGTGAATAAGTCTATGAGTCTATAAGTCTATACTTTGAAAGTGAATCATGGTTCATGAAAACAGATGTTTATTAAATATTAAAAGATGTGTTTAAATGATTTGTTGTCTATTATTAGACAGGACTGGAGCTCCAGTGCATCTGTGTCAAAATAAAAGTCCCCTTTACAAACGCAAACACTCATCCCTGGTCACGTGACCTGGAGGCAGGCTCTGACTGGCCAGTGTGAGTGTGTGGGTGTAGCTCACCGGCGGCACTGAGGATCGTGTCTGTGGTGCTGCTGAGCTCCAGGAGGATTGTGGGATAGTTCGGGTGGAGCAGGAAGAGCTTGCGGAGGACCGGCTCTGCCACCTGCGGGACACAAACACAGCCGATGAGACGCCGCTCTGAACGCATGGACCGCAGCACCGGTCATGTGATCTGCAGAGGAGCGTTGCCTTGGAGACGTTCTGCGGCTGCGCCAGCGGATCTCCCGCCCAGAAGAGGAACACCGATTGGCCGGTAACTGTCAGGACCGACGAATCCTCCACCGCCAGACGAGGACACACAAATTCTGCCTCCCACAGGCTCCGCCCCCGCGCGCCGTCCACGATCTGCACCTGCAGGTCACACGGACACTGAGTGCCACGCCCATCCAGCTGCATAATGAGATGCCACGCCTGCCCAACCACATAATGAGATGATCATGAGATGCCACACCCACCCAGCCGCATAATGAGATGATCATGAGATGCCACGCCCACCCAACCGCATAATGAGATGATCATGAGATGCCACGCCCACCCAACCGCATAATGAGATGATCATGAGATGCCACGCCCACCCAACCGCATAATGAGATGATCATGAGATGCCACGCCCACCCAACCGCATAATGAGATGATCATGAGATGCCACGCCCACCCAACCGCATAATGAGATGATCATGAGATGC